ATGAAAATGTTCTTTAATATTTAGAGAAACCGGTAGTAATGATATTTTCTATCTATCTATTTCTTTCTATTGTAATAAAATATAGAGTAATGTAATTCTCTTCAATATTACCAGAATTATAAAGATCTATATTTAAAAATGGCTTTTTTAGAAGTATGTTTTGCAAATTCCGAATGCAGCTTTTTTCGAAATGAAATACGAAGTTGTACCTATTTTTATTTGATAGATATCATATGAATATTAATCTAAATATTTTTAGGGAAAATTATCACAAATTTAAATTTTGGAAAAAATATTTAACTTAAAAATAAATGATATCCAAATGATAGAAACTCGAATGACTCAAATTAGTATACATACATACATATGTATATCCTATATAAGGTCTCATGTCATGGAATGTATAGCATTTAGTAGAACAATTGATAATTAATAAATGAACACCTACGTCGGATTTTAATTAAATACATATCGTTATATAAAAGTTACAATAAACAAATTTTACAGGAGAAGCAAAAAAAAAACGTCTTAAATGATAAATAAACTCAAACATTTTCAAAATTTTCTCAAGTTAAACTTATTTTTTATTAAGAAATTAATATTTGAAAATAAATGTGCTGTTTTTGTTTTACTTACGGAGATATGAAACTTACGCCCTTGAGAATTTGTTTTTTCTGAAACCCAAAAGGGCCTATGTTACATTAAAAATCAAACCGGTTTTTGGTGGTCCAATAGGCCGAAACATGGAAGGCAAAAAAGGGCTTCTTTGTTTTCATAAAGATTTTCGAAAAATTGAATTTTTCTTTGAACAAATTCTAAAGCTGTTAAAATAAGCTCTAAATCACTAGGATTCGCTAAAAGTGTCACTTTTGTTTTATTTGATGCCAACTTACAACATTTTACAATTTCAAAGTTAAAAATTCAAACAAATTTTAAAATTTTCTTGAATTTTGAAGTAGTTTTAGAACATATTTTAGAATTTTGTTGATAGGGATTAAAGGCCTGCACAAGACAATAATTTGTTAAAAAATGCCTTGGACCAAAATTTGATGCTCTGTTATGTTATGATGACGCACACGACATTTTTTAACAAATTGTTGTCTTGTGCTGGCCTTTATATGGACGTTGATTTTAATTGTAGAAGTGTAAAATTTTGCAGGAACATGTATTTTGATATGGTGCAACATAATCAATCATAAAGTTGATTTTGATTTTTCTGTAACTTAGGGCTTTTTGGATTTCATATGACAATATGTACATCTTAAAGCTATTCTTTGCCAATAAACAAACTTTTCATAGATACTAATACTTTTAGCTCAATTATTAACGTTGAGGTGAATGTCTAAATTGATCCATGCATAGGGGTAGGGTCAAATGTGGCCTGATTTTCATCAAACCATATGGTTAGGATCCGAAATATTGAAATAAAACAAATTGTATCATGACAGCTTTAAATTTAATATAAGTAAAATATCGGGGTAATATTTTTATGGTAACTATGAGAAACCATGTACCCGTTTCTTTATTATGTAGCAAATTTCATCAAATTATCTTTAAAAGGTTAACATTGAGGAACGCACAAAGATTCATTATATCAACTCTTAATGTCTTTACTACTTCCGTGGTGGACTGTATAAAAGTCGAAATATATGTAAATATACAGGCCTATCACAAATCGAAAGTGGAATTATTACTTTCGATCGGAATAGAATTCTGTGACAGGCCCCATACTAAAAGAAGGACTATCATGTTCGTAGAGTATTAATTTTTAGCCAAGAAAATGAAAATTGAAACTTTTTTGGTACTGAAAAAAATCACATTTTCTATCCCTGTGTTGTATTAATTAAAGTCCTTTAAGGATTTTGCATTTATCAATAAAATTTTAAATTTTCTCATTATTTATTATTTTACAGGTTACAAGATGCTGATGGAGGATTTTTTGAAAAATTTGGCTCTTTATTACGGCAACAATCTCAGCTAGAGGAGAATGATCTTAAAACGTCGTTAGCACCATTTAAAGAAGATACCTGTGTGGAAGAGGAAATTGAAGAATGTGAAGAAAATGTTGAAAATATTGAAAATGAAAGTAGTGAAGAGATCGATTGTTCGCCTATTGAAAATTTAGATCTGGAACCTGATTTTGATTTGACTGAAGTCAAGGAAAGAAAAGAAAAAATCTTTGAGAAATCAGCGGGAATGAATGTAAGTTTTTTTATAAAGCATCAATAACATCAATGTAAATTGCAAAATTCGTTATTATTAAGTAATATAGCATACAAAGTACATAGTTGGGGTTTTAACACGGTTTAGGCGCCGAATATCATTCGATAACATATTGTCATCCATCAATATTCTGATTGAACCTTTGTCTGTTCTTATCGCATACAATCTTTAAATTCGAAAAATTCCAAATTTTAATTTATCAATTTATAACTGCGGTTTCTTATTTTCCGGACTTTGTTCATTCATACTTACTAAGACATATTGATGATGTATGTATGTCCAGAATTTAATAAAATTGATCCATGCTTTCGCTTAGCCCTCAAATACGACGGAAAAATATAGTTATTTTTAAACTAGGCACAAATAATTCCTATATAAGCAAAAGTTCCACTTTGAAATCAACCATAATTTTTCAAAAGGCGTGATTTCTTTAATTACCAAACCAAAAATGCCATTTTGGCTTCCTGAGTTAAGAAATAGGGTCTGTGTGTCCATGCAAACCTCGTGCGCAAATTTTATGATAATGTGATGAAATTTGGCACGTGCTATTCCTTGAAATATAAAAAACCCATACAGCCGTATCCCCGAATAGTATTTTGTAGCTTATAATTCTGTTAAATATTCTAGCTTCTCTACAAAAATCGACACAACTTAGATTTATTTAAGTTTAAATAGTGCTGATTTTAGTTATGATCGGTTCTTATTTGACCCAAGTCCCCTTCACAAAATTACTTGAAAGTCAATAATGCCTTTATAAACACTGGTGCCACGATGAATTTCTGCATAAGGATAGGCCCTTTCTAACCCTTATCCCCATATAACGCCTTTTTCAGAAAGTTCCTTTTTTGGTCTACAAATTGTGGTAACGTGTCGTTATGACACACCAAACAGTGTCATAGTGTCCATGGACGTTCATGAGAAGAGTGAGATAAAGTCCATGGAATACAAATAGTCCATTTAGCATGGAAAGGCTTTATATACCAAAGCCGGAATTCGAAATATACCGGAGTTTAAAACCTTTTCTCTACTTTCTTAACTCCTAAACAAATTGTTCAATACATTTATGTTTTAAAAGTGTCACAGAGTCCATTGACACTAATAAAAGTGTTTAAGATCTACATTTGAAAATTTTGTCGACTTAATAATAAAGGTTTAGCTTATGAAATATCACTGTCCTTTATCCTTTGAGGTATCTCAATCTAAAAAAGACTTTAATTGACAAAAGCTGAATTATTTATCACATTTCGCCTTTATTTGGCTACAAACTTACATGAAGCACCCTAATGAACAAAGTTTAGAATTTTAAACAAATTCAGAGCGAACATTAGCACACGCGTATTCATAAGAGATTTTATCTTAATTTTAAATTAATTCTTTTAATATTTACACACTGATAACAATTCAAAGATTAATTTACAGCAGCAAACAAATATGGAGTGTACATTGATTTTGTCATTCCCTATTTTATACTGAAAACAAGTAATAATTAGAATCATGTACATTTTGTTGTTACAAAGATAAAAGGAAACAATATTAAACAATTTGCTACCAAACGGGTTGATCAATTACAATATTGTGTATTTTTTGTTTTGCTTGTCACTGTATAAACGATGCTCGATGCTTGAGCACAATTCAAATATATTTACAGCACTTTTATGCTCCTTTAGCAAAGGGGCATATTCAAACAAATTCGAGAGCCCAAAAATATATATCTCAATATATATATGGTCTGATAATGACCTTAACAATAATTATGTATGTACATACATATGTATATGTACATACGTAGAATGTATGTATGGTGTAAAAGCTTGTTTCGTTCTTTAATAAATTTTACTTTTCTTTATTAGGACTGATTTTAGAGTTGCCAAACATTTTGCTTTAACTTTTGCATATTATATTTATGTCGAATTGTATCACGAAATTAACATAATATATGGTCTATGTCCGTCCTACATTCAAACAATACATATAAAATTTTACGACATAATTTATGTTATTATGAAAATAATGTACTATTTATCGCATTTTATCACTATATCTGTTAACATAAGATTTTTTCGCACGATTTTTTGCAATAAACTAAATTTCTGAGAAAGGCAATAAACTAAATTTCTGCCTCTAGGTGGATTCATATACCAATTGTAGGGTTGTTACTTTTACAATTTTCATTAAAAAAAGTAGTCGAACTGGAATTTGAGCTATGTTTGGTAAAAAACATCTTACTCTGTGGTAAGACCATACATAACTTATTAGTCATACTATTTTGATGTTCAATTTTGTAAGTGTATCCTTATCGAAAAGAGATATTTGAAAAACACTTCGCCTTTTAGACATTTTTTTACTACAAAACCGATTTATGACGGTTTGCAATTTTATTTTTCTTTAACACTGTGCGACATCAGTATGCTATTACCTTTAACATGGCGGTGTAAAAGATGTGAATGAATGAATTTTTTATCTCTAAAGAATATTTTATAGTTATTACTTGTGTAGGTAATAGTTAATTCTGCATGTCCATTTAATTTTATTAATTTTTAATTTTTTTGTTTGCCATTTCAAAAGACAACAATACTAATAAATAGAAATAAAAAAATTGTTCACTAAAAGTTTGAGTTCTTTTCTTCGCTATTATTAGAATATATTCAGCAAACAAATTTGCTCGAAGAATAAACTCTCTTAGCGGTATTTGCCAGCTAGCCATCCAAGAAATGAGCGAACATATGAGCGTGCACTCACATTTAAATGAAAACAAAATTGAAAAAAAATTTTCATTCAAAATCATTAAAATCGGCTCACGGTCAACGTCAACACTTAGCGATCGGCGGAATAAAAAAAAAAACAATAAATGCCCTACGTAAAGTGTGTATCGTGGTGGTCAGTGAGCGTCCTTCGGTCAATGTTTTAGTTTAACGCATTCTTCAATTGTGTATCAATATAATTTCAACGCGGAAAGCACACCACACAAACAAATCCAGTAAAAGTGAATTCAATATTATATGTATTCAAATTTGATATATAAGTAAAAAAAATATTTCGAGCAAATACCATCTACTTACATATTTGCTTGAGAGTATTCTATTTGAAAACGAATACATTTTGTTAATAACTATAGTATATTCGATGCATTTATAGATTCACGTAACGGTTTATCTAAAAAAAAGCAAAAGAAAAACTGAAACTGAAATCGAAAAGAATTGAAATAAAAAATAAATAAATAAATAAAAGAAATATAAATAAAATACCGTGGAATATAGCTTTATAACAATATTTTTGTTATTGTGTGAAAATGAGTTTTCTTTCGCTTCCACGTAAATTTGCAAGTGAGAGTCTTCGAAATTCCAATACTTCCGTAGATCAAAATGTCAAATATTTGAGTTTAAACAATAGACGAACAAGTAGAAAACCAAATTTATATAGTGGAGGCTCTACATTATCACTTCAAGTACCACCTCGCAGAGGGATTTTAAATAGAAATGGCAGTATTTCTTCCAACTATTTTCGTGGAGTACACAAACATCAATTAGAACAACATGCTGAAACTGTATGTCACACAATGACCGTAAGTACTCTAGAAACCTTTCCGTACGATTTGTTTTTTTTATAGAAATTATATCACTCCTTCTTAAGAATGAATATACATATACACATGTATACGTTTTAAAGTGTCTTTGCAAAGGGAACACGTAATTTTAATCATATGTATGTATGTTTAAAATTTCCAATAATAATTGAAAATTTTCCAAGGTTATTGATTACAAATTAACTTAGATTAGGTAATTGTTCTTTTAGAATTAATGTCACATAAGTCTTTAGATATGATATTTCATACAACCATATCCTCCTATTATCAGATTGAAAATATTTACTTCACCAACCAACGTTAAAAATCTCAAAATATCTATAGAATCTTCCATAATTGTTGATTTTGTAGGGATAATTTTTTTTACCGTTATAAGAAAATAGGCGAGCTTAGACTAAGAGCAGCCTTACATCTCTTGTTATCGAATATACCCATAATTATTAAAAGTTGGGTACGAAACTTTCGTATAAACAATTCAGAAGTTCTATCATAGTAAATTCATTAAATAAATACTTTTTGCTTAATTATAATTAACAGAAATAATATTTAAATCGGATTCTAATTTGAATGATGCAACAAATGAAATACATATGTATAAAAGTTAAAACAAAACTAATAATGTCAAGATGACAAACATTTTTCGATATTAAAGTTTGAATCTCAGACTAAAATGACGCCAGATAATTGATTTCTATCACATTATAAGCACACTATTAATAACTCAAAATAGGTATAGAAAATTCAGTACTTTAGTACTATTTTGATATTCGGTACTTTTTTTAACATATAAACTTTTGACGAGTACTATATGTTACCAGTCTAGTCTATAGTCTGGTCTATAATCTAGTCTAGTTTATAGTCTATTCTATGGTCTAGTCTATAATCTAGTATATAGTAGTCTAGTCTATAGTCTAGCAGATAGTATAGTCTATAGGGTAGTCTATAGTCTAGTCTGTACTCTAGTCTATTCTGTAGTCTAGTCTATAGTCTAGTCTATAGTATAGTCTAGTCTATAGTATAGTCTAGTCTATAGTATAGTCTAGTCTATAGTATAGTCTAGTCTATGGTATAGTCTAGTCTATAGTATATTCTAGTCTATAGTATAGTCTAGTCTATAGTATAGTCTAGTCTATTGTATAGTCTAGTCTATAGTATAGTCTAGTCTATAGTATAGTCTAGTCTATAGTCTAGTCTATAGTCTATTCTATAGTCTAGTCTATAGTCTAGTCTATAGTCTAGTCTATAGTCTAGTCTAGTACAGTCTAGTCTACAGTCTAGTCTACAGTCTAGTCTAGTCTAGTCTAGTCTATAGTCTAGTCTATAGTCTAGTCTAGTCTATAGTCTAGTCTATAGTCTAGTCTATAGTCTAGTCTATAGTCTAGTCTATAGTCTAGTCTATAGTCTAGTCTATAGTCTAGTCTATAGTCTAGTCTATAGTCTAGTCTATAGTCTAGTCTAGTCTATAGTCTAGTCTATAGTCTAGTCTATAGTCTAGTCTATAGTCTAGTCTATAGTCTAGTCTAGTCTATAGTCTAGTCTATAGTCTAGTCTATAGTCTAGTCTATAGTCTAGTCTATAGTCTAGTCAATAGTCTAGTCAATAGTCTAGTCTAGTCAATAGTCTAGTCTATAGTCTAGTCTATAGTCTAGTCTATAGTCTAGTCTATAGTCTAGTCAATAGTCTAGTCTATAGTCTAGTCTAGTCTATAGTCTAGTCAAACTTGTCGGCCTGGTAAATATAAAGTTATTAGCAGTTCTGCATATAAAAACCAAGTAGAAAAGTATAGTCGGGCATAGCAGACAATATCGTACCCTACACCATGAGTATATTTAAAAAAATATATATTTTTTATAAAAAAAACGTTGAAAAAAAAAATTGAATATTTTAGCAATTTGTTGATGAAAAACTAATTTTTAAAACTAAAGACGCTTTACATGGGAGATATTGGCAAACGTGGGACGATCTGCATAAAATTTGGAAAAGGGATATATTTTTATATAGAAGTTAGTTATGATGAATTTCATTGCGATACTAATGTTTATAAGTCAATTTTGGTCGTTTAAGACATTTTTAAAGGGGGTTTGTATGGGGGCTAGGGTTAAATAAGGGCCGATCATACAATATAAAACTTAGTTGTGCCGATTTCTGGAGAGATAGTAATATATTTGACGTAGGCATAAAAAGTCCAAATCGGGAAGTCCGGTTGTATGGGGGCAAGGTGAAATAATTTCAATAGACTTCGACCATATGCCGAAAACACGTTTGATCCAAATTTTATAAAAATATCTTGCAAATTGCGGTCTGTACCTTGCGCACAAGGTTTACATGGACAGTCAGCCGGACAGACAGACGGATATGTCTTAATCGACTCAGAAAGTGATTTTGAGTCGATCGGTATACTTTAAAGTGGGTGTATGACCAATTTTTTGTGCGTTGCAAACATCAGCTCAAACGCATAATACCCTCCCCACTATAGTGGTGTAGGGTATATATAAATAATATACATATATTTTGCGAAACAATTTTGAACGTCATCGCACACTAATTGTACAAGTAAATAACGAGTATGATTAGTATAATTGAAATTATATTGTGTTTTTATGAAGGGATAAAACTTAATGGTTTATTTAAAAAAGTAATATTTTGTAATAGTGCTCTCGCTATTTTTTAAATTTTATACATCTAATTAATTTTACTACATTCTATCTAAATATAAAAATTAAAATTTGTTTGTTTCAACATTGTTGGCCTTAAAGGTAGCAAAAAATTTGTTTGAAATTAACGTGCGTAATTGTCTAAAGTAAATATTCCCTTTAATATTTAAATTACTATATCAACATTAGACTGACTCACAAAAAATATTTTATTATTCCTCTCGATTTACTTTATATAAAGTAAGACGATTTAATATACTATATAAACTTAAAATATAAAATATAAGGTGAAATTGAAATTATGTTTCTTTTATCTAAATTTACTTTTCGTACATGATCAACGATCATACACCTTATATTGTACACTGACATTAATTTGGTTAGAGTCACCATCCTTTGAAAGCACAATATTTAAGCCCACTGAGACAGTTATAATCCATACCAAATTGTATTTAATATTGAAAACTAATTTACTGAACATTACGTTTAATTTCGAAGATTTTATCAATTTCAGATGAGTTTTCTATTTAAACTAAAATTAGTTTTCTGTATACTAAGATTATTCATAAGATATAGCTGCGAATTACTAAGATATGCATTTGTTCAAAAGCTTAATTGAAATCTTAAAAATTTTATTTTTTAATTCGAAATATTTGCTCAAAAATTATAGATTTTTTATATTATTTTTATTTTTCAATTCCTACTTTTGGTCACTATTTAAATTATTCAGAGTGTACAAACATAAAGAATTGTATACAAAATAAATTTAATATATACAATGTTCTATTGCGTACATTTGCACATTATGGGCATAACTTTTTTATTTTGTTTTTAATTTTAAATATAAAAACAGTGTAATCCATACTGAATATAATACATATACATATATTTATAAGTATATATCCACTCTAAACTAAATTTATTGATATGAAGTTTGTAAACAAGTGTTATTACAACACCAAAATGTGCGGCAAGATAAAACAAGGAGGGGAAAACAGCTTGACTATTTCGCAAATTTTGACCCATTGCATATTATATGGATCTCCTTTAGAATCACAAACGGATAAAATCATATATAACTAGTGTTTTTCTTTTCCTGTACTATTTTATTTCCCCGGAAACGGATATTTTTAATTAATATAAATATTGTCCCTACACCCACCGTAAGGTACACTAATCTGTTTGTTTGTCCGTCTAGATCAGCGGTTCCCACCGTTTTTTACTTCGCGGACCCCTTGAGGAATTTATTTAATTTCACGGACCCCCATACATATTTTGATATCTTATTGTTATAAATAACACTGTGATACAAAAGTGAAGAAAAATAAAATGCAGGCGTTCTCATATACCAATTCTATTTCGTTATAGTCCATAGAGTACGAATATATTTTTAGTTTTCCCCTATCACTTCGTTAACTTACTTTTTAAGAGCAAAAGATGCGAAAAAGAGCCATTTTTGAAGTTTTAAATTTGAAAAATCATAAGTTTAGTAGTAGTTTTCATCCGATTTTCAAATCCGATATTTTTTTTAATGATACAAGTGTTGCCGTTTAAGTAAAGAAACTCACACTTTTTTAAAAAAATTTCATTTTCATCATGCTCTACTTTGACCTTGAGGCAGTGAGTTCATCTTTTATTACTTTCCTGAAGAATCACATAAAGGAAGGTTTCTAAAACTTGTTATTTCATAAAAATCTATGAAAAACTGGATGATTTATGCCAATTTTTCTAATAGCATGTTCCTCGAATTTTTGGTTTTCTCCATACAAATTAATTTTTGTATAAAAATGTTTATAAACATTTTTTAAACTTGTTACAAAGAAAACCAGAAACATGAACGTTTTTGTATGGAAGAAATATGCTATATTTTTATAAAACTTAGCACAACTCATAACCTTTTTCATCGATTATCATAAATTGACCATCATTGGAAACCCAACTTAATGTGCCTTTTTTCAAATGTAATAAAAGCTAAAGTTACTGCTTCATGGCCAACGTAGAGCAGTATGAAAATTAAAAATTGTGAAAAAAATGTGAGTTTTTTTACTTAAAAGGCCGTAACCAAGACATTAATCATAAATTTTGGATTTATTTTTTTGGGTTGAAAGACAACACTTGTATCTTTAAAACAAAATATCCAATTTGAAAATCGGTTGCAAACTACCATAAATATATTTTTTTAAAGTTAAAACTTCAAAAATAGCTCTTTTTCACATCTTTTGCTCTTAAAAAGGAACTAAACGAAGTGATCGGGAAAAATTAAAAATATATTCCTACTCTATGGACTATAACGAAATGGAATTGGTATATGAGAACCCCTGCATTTTTTTGCTGTATCACTGTGTAATTGTTCGTCCGAAAATTGTCTTAGTCCTGGTCCATAAACCCTATAAAATATTCCCGTACATTGAGATCGGAGATGTTTTCAATTGCATGGTTTTAAATATAGAATGACTTCTAACATGATGTTTAATTTTATGATCGTGAGAGCTTTCATGTTCATTTCTCGTCAAGGTATAGAAAAGGTTTCTTTATCAAGTATTGTCGACATGTGCTTAAAGAGTCATGTTTCTAAATTTTTTTGCGATTGCATAGGAGTGAGCTGAGTATGTAAGCTAAGTTTTCGAGAAAATATGTGAAAGTTAGACTTCTTCGATGTTGTTGCGGAATGCGTTACCCACATAAAATATGACCTGAACTCTTTGCGAATGTACTGTGAATTTGGATCTTAATTTTGAATTTTAAAATACCTACGAATTATTTTACTGCGTGGTTTTGACTATTTACGCAAAACGCTATGAATTTTCTGATGTTGATTTAATAATATTGGACAACAAAATGAAGTTAAAATCTGTGTATCACGTCGGAATGGAATATTTATATTTAAAATTAACTAGATTAACACTTTTGCTTACAATTTAAAAAAATATTATGAAATGTGACCTAACCTGGGATACCAGTATCAGTATTTAATTCTAAGGCAAATCATTATCCGTCTGCTATAAAAACATTTATTTCGATACATATACATTTATAAAAATTACAAATCACGTAATACTTTACTTTATAAAAGTGAAACAATAAATTTGTAAGGCCTAGCTTCATCCTGATAAACGACCGAAACAATAAAATTCAAAGAGTCACCAACAAATCTGGGATTATTGAATAAAAATTGTGTATTTTAGTATTTATGACAAATTTGGAGATATTTTTAATATTTTCTAACATATAGATAATATTTTTTATTCATGATTTTTTTCGTTCGTCTTCGCGGACCCCCTAGGATTTTGCTACGGACCACTAGGGGTCCGCGGACCCCCTTTTGGGAACCGTTGGTCTAGATATGTAAACCTTGCAGTCAAACTACAAAATTTCATTTGATGAAATTTTGCAAAAACTCCTCTTTTACCTAAAAAACTAAATACGGATCCAATGGATCTATTATTTCACCTACACCCAAATAACCTAACCTTGGTGTGTAGGTTAGGTTATTTTAACTCCTAATTATATCAAATATACTGATATCTCACGTGTGATTTGGCGTGAATATTTCTTACCCTGCCCAAAGAGTTTTTACCTCAGGATTCACTTTCTGATTCTATATTGCAGATCATTATCATTCATCAAATTTGAGTCTTTTAATGTTCTCTTTTATGATGAACAAATGGGAATAAATGACATATGCACTCAAGATTCAAAATTTTATTTTGTTGTTCATTTGTCGAAACTGAATTCGAAAATGGATATACAGGTCATTTGCAGGTTTTATATCTGAGTCCCTTCTCTTTTACCTAACTTATTAAAACGCAGTACGCCATTAGAAAAAAAATTAGTTAAGGTATATCGGCGTTTTTCTGTGTCATTTTCAAATACTTACAATTAAATTTTGCATTAATTTTCGTATGTTATTTACTATTATTTGTGATTGTTTTTCAATAAGTCACTTTTTAAAATACGATTCATTTCAAGGACGCACCCATCAAAATACAGCTCTTGGTGATCAAAAGTTATCTAAGAAGACTGAACTTAGTAATAAGACAACGACCAATTTCCAATTGCTGACTGAATAGTTGAATTTTGGTTATATCCCTAATACAAACATTCCTGTATGTATTGCTCAGAATAATTATATCATTCATCAGATCAATGTTTACATTCATTCAATGAACTATAATACTAGATAAATAAACATAAACAAGTTAATATATACATATCTGAATGTATGTATGGATATGTACATGTTTAATATAGTTCACGCGCCAATTAGGGATTTCCCCCGAATGGGAAATCAAAATCCATGGAAATTGTGAGGGAGTTTTTATGAATAGAAATTATGTTTGTTTTTCAAAAACTTTTTAAGAAAAGTGTTTTATACCCTCCAGACTACCAGTGGTGTAGGGTCAGAGTTAAAGCGAGATATTGCATGGAAATATTAAAAATTCGAATCCACGTTTTGCTTAAAAGTTAAAGACGTTTACCCAAACGTCTTTATACAAATTATTAAAAATTGCAATGATTTCATTTTAAAAAGTTTATCAATAATGAAATGTATTAAAAATTTCAACAACATGTTTAAATAATTATTCTCCTTAACTACTTCTTAGATTGAAGATCTTTATGAGGAAGTTCTTTTTGAAATTACGAACAACATTGGGTGCGAGGCGAACGATATTTGCAAGGAATCTCTCATCGAATTTGCTCAGGAAGCATTTAAAATGTCGAATGCCAAACATGAAGAAATACTCGAAATAGCACAACAAAAAGAACCTCCAAATATTCGACTAAATGTTGAAATCATTAAGGCTGAAAATCTTTTACCAAAGGATGCGAATGGATTTTCAGATCCGTTCGTTACACTCTATCTGGAATCGAATGGTTCTCATCGTTATAATTCATCAGTTAAAACTGAAACTCTCAATCCCATATGGGAGGAACACTTCTCACTGTAAGTAATTGTTAATTTTCTCATATTTTAAATTCTAAAATACTCCCCTGCGTCCACCTTCATTCGGTTTAGGCCAATTACAGAAAATCCTAGAAATGAAGTGCTAATAATTGAGGTATGGGACTTTGATGCGGCTGAGACTGTTAAAGATAAGGTTAATAAATTAATGGACGTTAAGGGAATTAAGGGTTTGCGAAAGTTAATGAAAGAAATTGCCATGACTGCATCAACTGGAAAGCATGACAATGAATTGATTGGAAGAACAGCTATTACGCTAAAAGTATGTATTTTATTCGATTAATTATAATCTAAATTATGTCTAAATCATATCACATTTTCTAGTCAATACCTGTATCAGGTACTACTGTTTGGTATAACCTAGAAAAGGGTAATAAAACTAAAAGTCGAGGATCGGTACTGGTGAATTTAGCACTTAGCGCTGAAAAAGATAAACGTGTTGCTGTTCAAGAGCACCGACATCTTTTGAAATTGTTACTAATGCATGAGTTAGAGTCATCGCAGGTAGCAAACTATTGGTGGGCTGGAAAATTTAGTGGAAATGCAGAAGCAATACGCTTACAACACTCCGTTCAATCTGGACTTTCAAGTTTCGAATGTGCTCTTAGCCAATGGGCTGTATACACTACAATCCACGAAGATCATCCATTGAGTTTTGGTTTATTCAATTCTATACTAGACGTTGTTATACCGATTCTCAAGTGTCACCTCAATGAATCAGAGGACATTAAAACGTTTTGGGATGGAGTAAGACGTTTGTTGCCTTCATGTTTTTCAATTCTACGAAAATTGCGTGCCAAAAATGTTAGTGATAAGCAAATTGTCAAAACACTCTGTGAGGTTCTTGACATACTATCAAAAATAAATACTCTCGAAAGACCCAAAAGCATAGAACTATTTCCTCATAACGTTTATGGTTGGATATCTAGAAAAGATGATTCGGACTGTAGCATTAATGACGTCATTGTTGACGCCATACACTGCGGTACCAAGGAGTGGCTTGAACACATCATTGAAGGTAATCGTCAAAATAGTGACGAACAGTCCGACGAAGACAATCTGCAATACCTAATAAAGCTAATACAAATGGTTCGTTCGGATCTGCAGCGAGGAATGGAATACTTTGATAAGCATTTTTACCAGTAAGTATATGATTAAATTTATCTAAAATATTAGTTTCAGATTTTTACCGGTTTAAGGGAGAGCAAATATGTAAATATCTGAACATATATGACTTTGGTAAATTATGAACTTATAAAACAAATACGAGGTTAATATTGTATTTTGGCGTTGAGACCAATGATTTTTCTTTATTTTTCACCATTAATACACAAAACAATTCTGGAACTAGTTTTTTTTCAACGGTTTTTGTTTGATATTGTTACGACTGGGACCAATTTTGGGAAAAATTTGACAAACTATTATTGGCGCAATCAACATACAAACATTTAGAAAACCTGTTCAACAACAACAAATAAATTCGTAAATTTTTGTTGTTTTTAATATAAAATAAGAAAGAAATATTCATTCGCAATTAGTGGAACAGGTCCTTACTATTTTTTCATGCAAACCCCACTATTTTCTGTTAAAAGATATTTTAGAAAGGATACACGAATCTAGCTATGTACTGACTTTTTATAATGTTCAATACTTTCGGTAAATTAATATGAAAGTTTTAATGCATTTTTCTATTTCGATAAAATTAAATTGAACTAATTTAATTTTATCGAATTTAAATTTACCAATGTATAACAAATCTATACGATTATTAACCGATTACGCTATAAACTCAAATAATTATTTGCGAAAAATTGAATACCCAATTTAAATATTCTAATTTCTACTTATTACAATGTGCTTTTAAATTTTACAGCAAAATACGACTAAATTTCTCCACAGAGCTTTTTAAATTCTATGATGAAAAAGTTTCTGAAATAGCTAAATCAATTGTCACCGAAGTGTGTGCTAATATTAAGAGACTAGATGTACCAGAAGATCATTTTGAAGAGCTGCCTGACATTGAAGATATTAATATGGGCACAACATTGTTTGAATTGTATTTGGTATTAAAACGTTTCCTGGCATTAGGTATGTATCAATTGAAATTATTATTTATAAAGTTTTAGCAAGATAGGTAACCGTTTCGAAAAGGTGGAAAGATAACAGTACAGGTATTTTGGATTACTTCGGAATTTTGGATTATTTCAGTTACAGTATCTTAACGGTAAGGGTGGTATGCTAGAAAGGTGATTTTTTCGGCAATTTCGGTATGAGTAAAATAATGAAAAATATGTTCGTTAGTGCAGTGCAACAGAAGTTAAAGAATTATTTCCCTCTTTTTTTGATCTACACCACTCCGTTGTTGTGCCAACAAATATAATGATGTTAACGGTATTTAAACGGTATCGGTATTTTTGTTTATTTCGGTAACGGTATCTTAATGTTTTCGGTATTTGAAATAATTTCGATATCGGTATTTTAGCGATAATGGTATTTAGACTTAGGCGGGTTTAATTGGCTTAAATTGCTATTAGGTTAAACTCGAAACAAATTTAGGCGGACTTTAACCGATGATTGTGTTTTTAAGTTATGGATTTAAGAGTTAACTTTGTTAGTATTGACAACTTTTCACTCAAAAACATAAACAATGAACAGCTTTTTTTTGCAAATATGTATTACTTTTGTAAATTGAAAAATTTTAGAAAAAAATAAACATTAAAATGAACATTTAAAACAATAATAATATTGATAAAACAAATCAGAATTACTATTTACTTAAAAAATTATTATTATTATTATTATTATTATTATTATTATTATTATTATTATTATTATTATTATTATTATTATTATTATTATTATTATTATTATTATTATTATTATTATTATTATTATTATTATTATTATTATTATTATTATTATTATCATTATTCCAATTGATTATTTTATTGTTTTTGTTGATTGTGTTCTCTCACTTATAACTTTGGTTTAATTGGCCAATAACACTCAGTTAAACTAAGATAATAAGTAACGTAACTGATTACTGAAAAACACAAAATAAGGATAAAACTAGGTTTAAAGAAAGAAAGAAGATTATCTTTATTAGAAAAACCCGCCCTTAATTTGGTATCAGTATTTTAGAGGTAACGTTAATAGTGCTGAAAAGGTAATGGTTGCTTATCGCATTAAAATTTATATTAACTTAAAATTTTAGTTCTTTAAACAGTGAGAGCAATCAATTATAATTGATAATTAAATGATAACACAGTGAGACAAAATAAACGAAAATTTAAATACCTGAAATATAGTTAAATCTGAACCGATTTTAAGTTTCTCCAAGGATTTAGAAAGCAGAAGCTGAGGCCTTTATAATGACATATATAACGTTTAAGTAACCTGGAGAGATATGTGTGAATTTCATCAGCAAACATATTTTTTATTGTAGTTTTGCACCGTTGTCCAAGTTTGGATATGTTTTTTGAAAGTATTTTATATAGGAACCGTACTATTTATTAATTGATTAGAAACCCATGTATAATCATGAGAAAAACGCAAATTTTGTTTTTAAAAATCCGTCGGCTCATATCTCCTAAACTATAAAAGATACAAAAACAGTTTAAAGCTTATCGTAGTTCATTTAAAAAATAAGCGGACAGGTGCCTGGTACTTTTTTCGAATTCAGCCCCTTAAGGGAATAAACGGGTAAAAAATGTATTTTGGTACTTTTTTGCACCCCATGTATCTTTTAAACCAGGGAACATTCAAAAAATATTTTTTACTCCTTTATAACTTGACGAAAAAATAAAAATATGAATTTAGTACTTTTTGGATATTCCGACGTTTAAGGGGTGAAAATTGTACTTATTTTTGGTACTTTTTTCATAGAACATTGTTTTTGGTTTATTAACTTATACATATGAATACATAATAACGGGCTCCCAATACGATGTTGCAACTTTTTGGAATAGAATTTTTATTTCGTTAATGGGGAGAAGTACCAAAAGGGGTAAAAGCGGGAAATTTGATTTTATTCAAATACAATGATCCAATTTATATACAATTTTTAGATTTAGAAACACTAAATATGCTAATAGAGTGTTATTTGGAACACCGGTACCAAGTGATATTTTTTGGAACTTTTTCATTCTCCAACTGGTACTTGTTATACCCACCATCAAAAAAGATGGGGGTATATTGATTTTTTCATTCCGTTTGTAACACATCGAAATATTGGTCATAAGGTCCCCTTCAGAAAATGACTGCAACGCTTATTAATGGCTTAAAAATACGAGTGTAGCGATGAAATTCGACACAAATAAATTTAATACGAACCAAATTCTGTCTACCAAATTTTATGAGGATCGACCCATTATTGACCCTACCCCCCTATATAAGGTCCCCTTCAGAAAATTACATTAACGCTTATAACTGGCCTAAAAAATACGAGTATATAGATGAAATTCGCAATAAGTAAGTTTCATTCGAGTCAAATGAGGTTTGATGGTGGGTATATAAGATTCGGCATAGCCGAATATAACACTCTTACTGGTTGAGTTTTCTATGATATTGAAATCGAAACATGAAATTAATAATAAAGGGATTTTTCGGTACTTTTTCGTTCTACACAGATGCTTTTTTGAATTTTCTTTAAAATTAAACCTAGAAACATGAAATTAAGCACGTAAAGCCCGGAGTAAATGAGAATCTATAAAAGGGGACTTATTGGTACTTTATCGTACTTCGACTGGTACTTTTTTGAGTTTTCTATTAAATTGAACCTAAAAACATGTAATTAGGCACGTAGAGCCCGGAGTAACTGAGAATCTATAAAAGGGGATTTATTGGTACTTTATCGTACTTCGACTGGTACTTTTTTGAGTTTTCTATTAAATTGAACCTAGAAACATGTAATTAAGCACGTGGAGCCCGGAGTAAATGAGAATCTATAAAAGGGGACTTTTTGGTACTTTTTTGTTCTTCAAAAGGAACTTTTTGAATTTTCTATAATATTAAACCTAGAAACCTGAAGTTAAGCATGTAGAGCCCGGATTAAGTGAGAACCCTTAAAAGGGGGCTTTTTGGTACTTTTTCGTTCTTCAAAAGGTACTTTTTGTGTTTTTTATAATATTGATCCTAGAAACATGAAATCAATCATGTGGAGGAGTAAGTGAGAACATATAAAAGGAGATTTTTTGGTATTTTTTCGTTCTTCAACTGGTACTTTTTGAGTTTTCTATTTTAATGATCCTAGACACATAAAACTAAGCAGCCAAGGACTTGATTTCATGAAAATTTAAAATGGAGTATTTTTAGTTACTTTTTCGTTCTTTAACTGGTACTTTTTGAATTTTGTATAATATAGAACTTATTAACAAGCAAGTAAAAAATTGAACGAAAATTTAAGGAGAATTTCTGGTCCTTTTTTGTTATTTTACTAATACTTTTCGAATTTTCTATAATATTGAACCTAAAAACATAAAATTGGATACGCAGCTTCCTAGTATGATATATAAATTCAGCCCTTTTGAGTTTTTCAATATAAATCAAGTAAGTGTCCTATATTCGGCTGTGCCGAATCTCATATACCCTTCACCATGATGAGTTAAATAGAATAGCCAGTACAAAAAATTATTACAAAAAATAAAAAAAAATAAAATATCAGAAAGTCCCCTTTTATAGATTTTTGATCAATCAGGGTGTTGCATAACTGCATAAAAATTAAAGAATGTATCATTCATAGAACACACAAAAGTTGAAAAAATCGTTTCCTCCAGATTTGTATTAACTTAAAAGTACCAAAAAATCTCACTTTACATGTTCCTACTATAAATACATAATTCCATGTTTCTTGGTTCAATATTATAGAAAATTCAAAAAGTACCTTTTGGAGATCGAAAAAGTACCAAAAAGTCCCCCTTTATAAGTTCTCACCTAATCAAGGCCCTGCATACTAAATTTCATGTTTCTAGCCAATAACAACATACTGATTCGTTTGTAACGTGACGTCATGCTCAGCATCTATATATATAAAAATTAATGTGTGTTTATTTGTTTGTGGGTTTGTTTGTTTGAAGTTTATAGACGGCTAAACTGCTGGACCGATTTTCTTGAAATTTTCACAGTGCCTTCCTGTATGTCTAGAAGGAACTATAGGCTACTTTTTATTTAGAAATTTTAAGTGGGCGAGGTGCCACGCCTACATCCAAAATAATAATTAAAAGTTGCATATCTCAGAAACTGCAACAGCTAGAGTCCTCAGATTTTGTATGGACAACTTTGACATCCATATGAACATATGTGGAAAAAATGGGCGGCCTATCTATAGTGGGCGTGACACCTCCCATATAATAAAATCTTAAATTAGTATATCTGAGAAAATATAACAGTTATAGTTCTCAAATTTTTCGGAGCTACTTTATTAACAACATGAATATTTAGGACAAAAAATAGGCGGACTAGCAATAGGGGGCGAGGCACCTCCCATATGAATTAAATAAAAAAATTAGTTTATCTGAGAAACAATTAGAGCTAAAATTTTCAAATTTTGCAGGAAGAACTTTAAAATCCATGTGAACATGTGGGGGAAAAACGGGAGGACATTCTCTAGGGGGGCTTGGTACCTCCCATATGAATTAAATGCAAAAATTTGTATATCTCAGAAACTATTAGAGCTGAAATACTCAAATTTTGCACTAATAACTTTGGCATAAATGTGAATATTTGGGTAATAAATTGGCGGACTAGCAATACAAACTATTAGACAGACCTGGGATAAGTGCATTAAATATGTTAATGCATTAACAATTTTTTCAACATTAAAAAAAATTAATGTTAATGAAAGTTTATTGCATTAACATTAACATGGGTACATTTAATGCATTAAATTTGCATTAACATTAAATATCTAAGAATATATAACAGTTAGACCCCTAAAATTTTGTCGAAGCCACTTTAGTATAAATATGAATATTTTAGACAAAAATGGACTGACTAGCGATAGGGGGCGTGACAACTCCCATATGAATCTATATATTAAAAAATGGCCGGACGGATTTTCTTGAAATTTTTACAGTACTTTCCTGTATGTCTGGAAGGAACTATAGGCTACTTTTTATTTTAAAATTTCAAGTAGTATTTAATGTCGCATATCTAATAAACTGCAACAGGTAAATTCCTCAAATTGTGTATGGAACACTTTGACATCTATATGAAAAAATGGGCAGACTTGCTGCAATGGGCGTGTCACCTTCCATAAAAATATTAAATAAATATGTCTAATACCCCATTTACACATACACGAAATCTAGTAGATTTCATTTAAAATCTTTTTAAAAATTTAGACCGTTTACACTTACCATTTTTGGCATTTAGGAAGATTTCATTTTTTCTAATATTTTTTGAAATTGTGTCTGATATGGAAAATAATATAAAAAATTGGGATATTTATTAACATTTTATTTATAATAAAAAATTAGATATTTAAAAATAACATTACTTCTATTTTAAATAAACTTTTCATTCATGTTTTTCAATTTATTAAAATTTTGTTGACATTTAATTTTTTTTGTTTGTTTTATTTTTCTCGTTTTTCCTGTGAAGCGTCGTATTTTTTAGTATTATTTAGGAAAAAACAGAGTTGCATCACTAAAAACTATTAGATTTCGAGTAGATTTTAACGAAATCTAGTCACGAAGTAGATTTTGTTTTGTATGGGAAATCTAGTTAAAAACAACTAGATTTGGCTCGAAATCTCATAAGTACTAGATTTCGTGTATGTGTAAATGGGGTATAACAAAATATAAAAGTTAGAGTCCCAAAATTTTGTCGAATCCACTAAAGTGTCAATATGAATATTTTAGACAAAAATGGGCTGGCTAAGAAAAGGGGGCGTGGTAATATATCTGGGAAATCATCTATATATATAAAAATGAAAGTGTGTTTGTATGTATGTTTGTTTTTTTGTGCTTTATAGATTGCTAAACGGCTGGACCGATTTTCCTGAAATTTCACAGTTTCTTCCTGTATGTCTGGAAGGAACTATAGGCTACTTTTTATGTTGAAATTTCATGTGGGCGACGTGCCACGCCCATATTAAGAAAATATTAAATTAGTATATCTGAGATAATATAATAGTTAGAGTCTTCAAATTTTGTCGGAGCAACTTTAGTATCAATATAATTATTTAAGACAAAAAGTGGGCGGATTAGCATTAGGGGGCGTGGCACCTCCCATATAAATTAAATACAAAAATTCGTTTATCTTGGAAACTATTATAGTTAGAATATTAAAAAATTGCACGAGTAATTTTTACATCCATGTAAACATTTTGGAAAATAAATTTGCGGACTACCCATGAGGGGAGCAGCACCTCCCATATTAATAAAATACAAAAATTGGTTTATCTGGGAAACTAATAGAACTAAATTTCAATGGGGGGCTTGGCACCTCACATATGAATTAAATACAAAATTTCGCTTATATGAGAAACTAATAGAACAAGATTCTTCAAATATTGCAAGAAGAACTTTATTATACATATGAACATTTTGGAGAAAAAAAGGGCGGACTTTCATCTGGGGGCTGTGAGTTCCCATATGATTTAAATAAAAAAATTCGTATATCTGAGAAACTATTAGAGCTAGAATCTTCAAAGATTCAAAGAAGATCTTTGACATTAATGTGAACATTTAGAGAATAACGGGCGGACTTTCAATGGGGTCTTGACACCCCCTATATGAATTAAATACAAAATTTCGTATATCTGGGAAAATATTACATTTTTTTTAATTTGTCATCGATTACATTAAAATCTTAATTAACGTTCCGAAAAAATGCATCTCTGGAAAACATTACAGTTAGAATCTTCAAAATTATTAAGAAGATTTTTTATTTATATTGCTTTTAGGGTAGCAAAGCACACTGGGTATAGCTAGTTGTTTTTATAAACAAGTACAATAAAAAATGTATATTATGATTATGTGTCTTGTTATTGTAGTTTATAGTTTCTGTCTGAGCATGAATAAAAAATCTAAATTTTTTATGAAATTTTCAGAGGTTGTCTCGGAATTTAGCTCATATCTCCGGTATTTATGGACCGATTTTGCTGATTTTAAATAGCGATCTTCTCGAAAGCATGTCTGGGGTCCTCTAAAAGCTGATTTCAACAAACACACAGACGGACAGACATACAGGCAGAGAAGCAAAAAAACTATTGAAATTGAAAAGTTTGTTTTTATCAACGCGATTTATTTGTAGCAAATAAACAAATTTTTTAATAGTGAAACCTATTAGTTGTTATGATAGTTTACAATGCCGTATATAAAAATGGATAAATTGGACATTTTACCTTTAATATTTAAATGTTTTTGTAGATAGGGCCTTCTCACGAAGGTGAAGGGTATAAAAAATCAGGAACACTTTTTTATTTTTAGATCATATTTTATAAAGTTGTTCAAATGTAGTGATAATTTGTAATTTTGTAAAAAAAAAGCTTTATCGTAGCTCACTTTATGTATGTATATAATTATCTTTAATTTTCTTAATCTTTGCATTCTATAGGTAAATCTCTTTGTCCAAATGATGAATTGGGCGTTGAACATTTTCACGGTTGGTTCATGCCTGGCGTGACACATTGGTTGGCTATATCTGTTATCAAAGCTCTCAAGAGAATTGAAAAAGCTATTGAACTAGATGAATTGAAAGCAGTTGATGAAACCGTTAAATATAGCTCTTCTGCTGTTGATACTCTTGCCATATTCTATCAAATTAAAATTTTCTGGCAACAGTTAGATTGGCCAGAAGCAGAGGGCTCCTATACATTTGTGGCTAAAATTGTCGATGTAAGTAAAAATATTTATAATGTATATGCATTAAAACAATAATTCAATGAGATTTATGATTGTAACAATAAATTATGTCTTTATTTAGGATATTTGCAGATGTTGCGTATTTTACGCCCAAAGAATGTCACGTCGTGTAGAATCACTAACCAGAGACAATAGTGAATTTTTCCATGTATCACCAGAATGGTGTTTGGCTATAAATAATATAGACTATATACGTCAAAGCTTACCGTCATTTATTAAGGTAATTATCGGATTAATTATTATTGTAGAAAATTAACCAGACGTTGAGAAAATGGTAATAATAGTTGTAAGAATTGAAATTATTTGATATAATTTCCTTGCAAGGTATTAAAGCTCGGATTTATTTAGTAATTGATGCATACTCTTACACTACACTGTTTTATTTTTCCTCAAATATAGGAGTTAGGTACAGATGATGTCATTAAGCGTCTGGGTGAATATCGATCTCAATTAGAAGCAGAACGATGTGAGGTCACACTTAAAAATGTCATCGATAATGCACTGGACACTGAGAGGAATCAAATTTTAGAGCTAATTGAAATTGTCGCAAGGAAAATGTCTCCTCCCATTCGTCGGTTCTTAGCCGAGGGTGCTGAGGTTCTACATGAAGATTCAAACTCAATGGAGCGTCTAATGATGTATTTGGAGACATCTTTGGGCACACTCTATGAAACTCTAAATGAAGTTAATTTTGCACGTGTTTTAGATGCAATATGGGCAGAACTTTCGATAATTATGTACGATCTTATTCAATCAAATCTTGATGTAAGTATCTCGTTGTCTATTATGTTTATTATTTTTGGTTCTCTACTTGTACTAATAGGCATTTCATTTTAGAAACGACGTCCGCCAGCATTCTTTCAAAATTTACGTCACACTTTAGGTGTGATGATATCTTGTTTCAAAACAGGACATATCGTTACATCAGATGTTGAAGTTTTAACCGAAATAGAGCGAATTTTGGACTTGCATGCATTTGAAACGGCCGACTTAATTCATCAGTATTATTTGGAGAGACTTGGTCACCAGAAAGAAGTTGCCAAATCCGAATATGGTAAATTGACTATAAGGGCAAATTTTACGGAAACTGGATTAGTGGTATGTAACCAAAACTATTAGATAATATATGAAATAATCTTTTAAAGTTAATTAAACTTTTTATAATTTTATTGGATTAATTACTTTGCAGTTGGAAATTATGAACGCCAGAGATCTAGTGCCAATGGACTCAAACGGATCTTGTGATTCATTTGTAAAAGCACACTTTCTTCCCACAAATCGTTTTCTGGGAGTTGCGCCTGTCAAGACCGCAGTTCATAACAAAACTCGTTATCCACTTTACGATGAACAATTTACAATGTAAGTTCATACAGAAAATAAAAAAGCTACTTATTTATATATTGTCATACATAAATGTTTATATATGTCATACATAAATACATATCTACATGTTAATATTGTAAATTAATATATCTGATCACGAAAGATATACAACAACTATAACTCCATACCAATCAACTAGCCTACTGCAAGTACTGTTCGGTATGCTTACTTATCAGATCTTTTATCCTTATATGAATTATTAATCTATGGTAATTACTTCCATATCTATAGTATAGATAGTGACTTTAAAATATGATATAATTGACATTTTATTGTTTGAACTACACCGACCAGGGATGGAAAAATTGGTACGATGGTATTTTTTTGGTACTATTTGATGTTCAAAAGTACCGTGATACTCCCAAGTCTTATTTGACACTCTCAAAGTATCTTTAAAATTTTAAATCTTTATTCTTTAAAATTAAAAATTTATTTTGGTGTAGGTGAAATAATGGATATATATCAACCATTTTCAATGGGGTTAGTCATTGGGGTAAAATAGGAGTATTTGCAGAATTTTATGAAATGATCTTCAAAATTGGCACTGTAGTTTGATTTCAAGTGTTATATAGACGGACGGACAGAGTTGATCGGTATACTGTGCGGTGGGTGTAGGGACAATATTTCTGTTAATTACTATTATCAATAACAATTAATTATACAGTCCTCACTATAGTGTAGGGAATAATAACCATTCCGATGGAACTATTTTGGGACTGTACATAAAATACATTAGAAGAGTTGTCCTCTAACCTCTTTTTATTTAATTTATATTGCCTTTTTATTTGTATCTAGCTACATTCTTAAAATTTCTTTTAGGCGGGAATTTCCGCGATCACGTGATACTAGGAAATATCCTATGTAACGTCTCATGTTATGGCCAATCATAGATTCATCATATCTACTTCCGTTGTTGATTGTTTAAAAATGTCTAAATATACATAAGTAAATGTATTTAAGATATTGCCAACTCTCAGCAAAAAAATTATTTTAGTACTCTGAGATCCAAAAGAGTACCCTCAGAAATATTTTTTGATACTGAAACTAAATTTTTCATCCCTGACACCGACGTTGATAGAACACTGTTTTTTAAATTTTTAATTTGATACGTTTTTATGAAAGTAATAATAATTGACCCAAACCTCATAAAGACAAATTGACCATTGTAATAAATATTTGTCATAGCCGAATAGATTAATCTCACTTCTAAATCTACAATGAAATGTATAAAAGTATAATATACATATTTTACCATATAATTAATGATTATAAATATGTAATATTTATCTTGCAGAAAATTAACTGAAGATCAACGTAAACAACAAAATAGTCTGATATTGTTTAGCATTAAAGATAAGGATTTGTTTGGTATGACCAACCAATATATTGCAGAATGTTATATAACATTTGCCGATCTGATGGCCAATGAGAACGAACAAATTCATATGGAACTGTCGAGACCTGAATACACAGGTATGCATTAACGTATACTAAATTATTAAAATGTTAAATGTTCTTCATAATATTTTAGTCCAGTATAGTATATTTACTATAAGTTTCTAGAGTAAAAATTTAACTTGTATTTTATTTGTATGCAATAACTTACGACAGTAAAATATTTTGGGGATACATCATAAAAAACGTGCATATTTTTTAATTTAATGTTCATAAGTATGATTGAACTAAATTTATGTATTCCTCTATTTCAGATTCCGACACCATCAGAGCCCTAGAGTATCGTCAGGGGGATAAGCAGGCAAAAGATTTTTTGAAAAAACTCAAGAATAAATCGTATTCATGAGAGTTAATTAAACACCTTAAGCGTGTTGTACTCATTTCTCGTAATCAAAACGGACAATAACAATACATATTATAATACAATTATATAAATAGATACATACTAAAATGTAAATAAATAATATGCACAATATACATACATACATACATTAGGAGCAAAATCATGTATGCATTTTAACAGGTACATCAACATAACACAACCAATTACATTTAATTAAAAATAATTGTAATTGAAGTTTTAAAATAACTTGCAATTAATTATAATTGAAGTTTTACCAATTACGATTTTATGTAATTAAAGTATTACCATTTACATATTATTTCCATATTATCATTTTTAGTGGGAACATCAGCAACTTTCATTTTAGGACCACCCTAATGCACAGGTACATACATGTATGTACTTATTTATATATACTCGTGCATATTAACCACATACAAAAGAATATTAAAAAAATATGAAGTCTACTTGCGCACATAAAAACATAGTAATGTTAAATATCATTAACATGTATATAAAATATCGTTTTTAAAATGTATTAGAATACATACATATATATGTAAGTATATGCTTAAGATTGATGGAAATTCTATAAATCGAAATGTTGTTTGTAAAATTGAGTTGTAAGAATGGAGCAATCCGCTAAACGTTTTAAATAAATCAATATTGTTTAACAGAGTCAATTATTATACTTAAAATTATATCTATAAAAGTCAAAAAGTATACTTTGTAGTACATGCCTTAATAGATGAATATTAGTTTAGGGCCAGTAACTGGAAGAATAAATCCACCTTGTGTTGTGCTTTTAAAAGAATATTAAAGATATTAGTCGATATTAGATCTAATTTAGTTCAAAATGTCCCTTTATTATTAGTTATGCGGTTTCCCCTGGAGGTCTTAACAATTGTTGTTAATTCAAAATGAGACAAGGCTCAGAGAAAATAAAAGAAAACACAAGTAAAACTGCACCTCAAACAACAACAATGCCCATACCTAAAATAAAACCAACAAACAATCTGGTGAGCGCTTATAAGAGTGTATCCCTGCAGTATCTGTAAGTAGCAATAATTTACTGAGGATAATTACAGAATAATCTCTCAATATCTAAATGATAAGAAAATAAACTTTTACACCTATAAGCTAAAAAGTAGTAAAGGCTTAATTGTGGTTATCAAAGGTATAGAGTCCAGTGTAGAGCCAAACGAAATCAAGGATGCCCTAAAAGAAAAGGACTATAGTTCACGAAATGTAGTCAATATCTTTAATAGAGATAAGGTTCACCAACCGATTTTTCGAGTTGAGCTGGAATCTGATAATAAAAAACTAAAAGGTAATGAAATTCACCCTATTTACTCTCTACGATACATACTTGTTGAATCGCAGGGAAACTGTTGAGAAATCTATAAAACGCAATACTCCCGTACAATGTGGAAATTGGCAGGAATTCGTTCCCACTCGAAATAAAAATATACCTTCTATAGATATTTGAATGACAAAAAAATCAACCAAGATGTAGTCTAAATCCGTCTCATATGGTAACATACTGAAGTCTGAAAACAAACAACCTATTATTCCCCAAAAAACGGGAGGGATAGAAAATTTACTAAAAATACTTACACTAAATATAACCTCTCTTAATCAAAACATGTCTAACTTCATGACATCCATGTAAAATATCATACAAGAGCTTTTGAGAGCACATAATCAAATGATTCAAATACTTTTGACAAAAAATTAGTTCTTTTGAAAATATGTATCTTATTTTATCCAAGTCAACAGTATATATGTATTATTAATCTCGGAGACTCACTTAACCAACAGATATAATTTTTATATTACAACTTTCAAATTTCACTTCACTAATCATCCTGATGGTAAGGTACATGGTGGTACTGGCATTCTAATTAGAAATAGAATAAAACACTATACCCTACTGGGGTTCCAGATTATTGAATATTAAAGGCAGACAGCTTTACAGGACTCTAGTTGATCGAAGAAACCACTTGGATTTTATATCTCCTGGTCAGCCAACCTTCTGCCTTCTGATTCTAGAAATATTCCTGATGTAATAGATTTTGCCATTTGAAGAAATTTAAATAGAAATTCTGTTACACTTCTGAATGATCTTTTGATCATTCTCCCATTATAATAAACTATTACCGTCAATATCCATCGATTCGTACAGAAGCTGCTTTCTTCAAGACTGATTGGTTAAAATACAAAAAATATAAGCAGTCATATCCACATTGATCTTAACCTACAGTGTGAGGAAATATTTTCGGCCATGTATATATTTCTAACGCAGAAATTGATATACTTCTCCTCTAAAAGAGGAGATGTAGAAAAGATTGGTAGCTTAGCAGATCTCCTGCTGCTAAGCAGAGGCCATCCCCTGCAAGTAAAAAACTAAAAATGTCCCTTCATTCGGAAGAGGATCGCAGGAATCGAAACTATATTAACAGTTTAACCAATATTAAGCACACAAATTTCTGCCTTTGGAAGGCAGCTTATTAAGCCGCCGGTAGAGGGTCAAAGTCCGTTAAGAAAATCTGATGGCACTTGGGCCGAAGTCCAAAAAATAAGGTTATGGTATTCGCTGAACCAACCGAATCACCCCACAAATAACTTAGAGGTGTTACCTGTTCAACCAGAAACAGACTCTGCTTATTACCTTGTCTGTCAAAACTATTTGAGAAAGTTTTCCAAGAATAATTATAACATTCTTAAAAAGTCAGAACAGGCTTTTGACAGGGTTTGGCATAGAGGTCTAATACATAAGATTAAATGCCTGCTGCCCTCCATAATTTAATTTAAGGACAATTTGCCACATGTGATTCTCTACTAAGAAAAAAAACAATTATTTTAGTTAAAAGATGTAAATAATTACTTATTGTGAGGCCTATAAAAATAGAGGCATATTCAATAACATAATAAAAACGTAATAAAAAAATATCGGCTCTTTAAAAATATAAATGTTTACATTAAATTAACACATATGTATTCCTAAAAATTTCCAATAAAATAACTAAAAACTAATGTAAAGTAGTAAATTTCATCTTTTCTATTACAATTTAAAATTTTTTATTGGACTTGAATGAGTCCATATTCTTTACCAGGTATATAAATTTTGTTCCTATAGCTTTTTAGTTAAGCCGTAGCAAAAAATATGTATATTATTGCTCAAATATAAAGAAATTAATTTCTTTATAAATCAATGTTAGTAAAATACTGTTCGAGATTAGACTTCGAGTAAACTGTAGGTTAGAGGAGACTAGATTAGATTAAGTCAAAGGGACAAATTGAAATAATGAAAAGATTTGTATTTAGTTCAAAATAATAGAGTTTTATTATGCTCACCGTTGAACAGTTTCCTGACGAGTAGCTTTTTCATATTTATACAATATTAGCTACCTATATCCAGTGTGCTTTGCTACCTTAAAAAGCAATATTAAAAAACCTACTTTACGATTATCCATATTTAAAGCTGGATGTCCACACTACGCGTGTGTGTGCATTTCATACCTCCTTTTACAAATGTTTACAAATGCCGCAGAAAAGCTGATTTTAGACTTTTGTAAATGTCAAAAGTGATACCTCTGTATACTTTGTGTTCAGGGGGTACGGTTGTATGAGGGCTAGGCGAATTAATGGACCAATTTCAACCATTTTCAATTTCGTCCTTGGATCGGAAAAAGAGTATGTACCATCAAATTATCTTGAAAATTACGACCAATAGCGAGCGCACAAGCTTTACATGGAGACACAGGCGGACGGACGGACAGACGAACATAGCTAAATCGACTCAGAAAGTGATTGTAAGCCTTTTGGTGTATTACCAATATTTTTGGAAGAAGCGTAGAACGCGTGTGGACCTCAAGCTTAAGCATTCTACGTGTCAAGGCATCCTAAGCTCTTGTGCTTGTAACTTGCAGCATACAAATACATTGATTCTACTTTTTAACAGAAGTGTATAATGCGAGAAAGGAACTTTCACATCCACATGAACACTTGATGACCCTTGGGCGTTTCACACTCCCATTAGAATTATATACTAACATTTGTATATCTGAGAATCTACATATTCGATTTAGAATCCAAAAATTTTACACGAACAATATTAATCTCAATATTTCGGGAAATAGTGGTACAAAAATTCGTATATCTGAGAAAGTATTAGAGCTAGAATCCTCATGAACGGACAAGTTTCATGCTACTCTTCTTAAGCGTCAATTTTTTGCTTTATTTACAAAGAACTTCGTGTTTTTTAAGTTTTTTATTTATATTTTCACAATTCAACTCGTTTTAGTTCATTAAAATTGATAAATACACATTTAAAATAGAATATAAATTGTCAAAATCAGCTGACATATTCGTGCGCCGCTTATGACGCTTACACAAGTAGAAAGTAGATCTGCTTTAAGCATTCTACGAGTCAAGGCAAATTTTCAAATGGACATTTCATTTTTACGATAGAAGCGTGAGAAGTTCAACAAATGTTAGGTCATATTTTCGTTTAATTTATTTTTAATTTATTAGCGCATAACGAAATATTTTATATCTCTATCATTTTACCATATAGAAATCAGTGTTTCGAAACTTATATTAATATTGGAATCAGTTTTTACTTAATTTAATTTTTGTATTCATTGGACTCACCCTTGTCCCGTTTAAGTCCTTTAAATTTGGGTCTCAAATATATAAATATTTTTTTTGTTTTTACAATGTTATATAGCTTGTTAAAAAAAAAAGACCGTCGAAGCCTGTCCAGTGACTATATTTATCTCTTAAAGGAACTTCGAAGGAATGTCTCTGAAATAAAATTGTAACCGCCAAGACCCGCCGAAATAGGTTTTTTCAATTTTAATAAAATGTAATTTGGGGTAATTTATTACTAAATCCTATTATAACAGGAAAAATATGGTAAATGTAGACATTTTTAAACTGCATAGCTAGATTGAGAGACACCAAATCCACATGAAAGCAATGGAAACTTTGTTAAAAAACATGTTTTTTAATTATTAGTTTCATATATCTAGAACCTACTGTAACTTCGAAAATAGATAATACAGATTTTTTAACGATTTTCTTTGCATTCAGAGACATCTATTCTATACAAAAAAAGCCTCAAATAATTTTGTACACCTAGAGGCAGCAGTCTTGTTCCAGTCCTTTCTCTTATCCCTGTTTTTATATCCTAAACCACTTTAGTGGTGAGGGTATATATACATATACTAATATTGTATATTTGAAATAAATATTGAGCTCTTCCATTACCAGACGCCAAACTGGTTAAAATTAATGCAGAAACATTTATATAAAGTGCAATTAAGTTACTAAAATATAAAAGATATACATAGTACGTACATAAAGGTGTATATTGTGGAAGGAATTTACACATGGCCGTCTTTAGGTATCCCTAGGCCCAATGCACAGCAGTTTTTTGAAAATTGAAAATGAAAAAATTTAAAAAGAAAAACACATTTTTATGTTATGACTTTTTATACATAAAGCATAATGAGAGAATTAAAAATGGTGCATATTTTGTCAGATAAAAAAATCCAAATTTTGAATTATGTAAGTCTTGTAGGAAATGAGCGATATCTAAATATGTACATTGTACATACATATGTATGTATTAGAGTTATGACAATTTGATTAAGCCTTAAATAATTAGAAACCCAAT